CGGGTGGGCGGGCAGGGCTGCCGGCACCCCCGCCCGCCGCCTTCCCGCTTGCGGGGACAGGCTGCTTTTTTTTCTCCCCTCCTCCCCCTCACTCCTTCTGCTTCCTCCATATGTGGTCCCAAATTACTCCCTGTTTGACTCAGCAGTCATGCTCATCACACTCCCGGTTCTCTGGTTATTTAGTTAAACATCTTTTTCAGTAGCAGCGCGCTATGCAAGCCACGTATTTCCAGCTGCGCTTCAGTTGGGTTCATCCAGTCTTTCACATGCTCCGGGTCAGCGTAGCTTCATCCCGCGCCTTCAGGAGGTAGTTTTCAGGTACGCTGTGGTTGAGGCTCTTGAGAACAAACCCAAAGGAACCAGTTGCAGACAGCTTTGACCCAACTGGTGAAATGATAAGGGAGATTCCAGTAACTTCAAGCAGACTAGCAGTTCTCAAAACAGAAGGCATATAACCGGCAGTTTTGTAGGCTTCATTACCTTAAAACAAAGTCATCCTTTGTGACAAACTAATGAAACTTCAGCAAATGAATTTATGCTTCATAGGAATTCCTCCATCTGTCCAGGTTGCTTGGCATCTCTTTACGGGCAACTCTGACCACTTTTTATTCTTGCATATCTGTTTGTGATGTGTATATAGTCTGTATGCATATGCAGATATGTACACATCGGTATTGGATGCATTGCTTTGGGATGTAAAAAGAAAAGGGCCATAGCAGAAGTGTTCTTATCTTGGACTTGATACGTCAGTGGTATAATTGAAAGCGGTGTCTCTTCATCACAGTTAGTCCTTGGTGTTTTGATTGCTTCCTGAAGTCACTGATTTATGTGTATAATTTTTTTTTAAGCTGATAACTACATATGTCACATAATTTAGAGGAGTAATATTCAGTCTAAAGGAGTTTGCTAAGTAGAATTTCTTTTTTTCTACCTTCATACAGCAGCATGTGTATGTGCTTTATAACATGTAACTTGATTTTTTTTTTTTTCTGATTGATGCAAAATTGCTGTCTGTTACTTGGCCCCTTTCAGTAATGAGCTGTATCATATTCAAAATTGAGCGTGAAACTTAATTCATAGCAGTTTCATGGTACAATATAGTAAGTTGGTAGTGGTTTGAGTTCTGTAGATGGACCCTACTTTGTTAGCTAATGTTTTACAGAGACTTTTTCTGTTCCTTTGTTTCTTGATGCAGTTTTATGCTGTTTTGCTCCAAAATTCTGTAGCTAGTCTTGGAATTATGAGAAGTGGAGCCAACTACTTTGCTTTGTGTGTTGTTGTTTTAGTGCACAGAATATAGAGTTCTAGGTTAAAAATCTTAAATTATCATTGCTTTTTTCTTTTAAGCTTCTTTAGACATGCCCAAGTAAAAAGTTTTAGGTATGGTAGAAGAGAGGCTGGAATTATGGGAGTCAGTGCACGTGTTCAATTTGACTGTTCTTAGCTAAAGTTTTCACTTGAAATCAGATCTCTGATGTACCAGGATCAGTTGCCCCCCTGAGTGACTTCAGTGACTTTGCTTATTTCCAGCTCAGAGGTTCAGGAATAGGGTTACAATAGTGTATGTGAAAACATCACTGATGCTGAGCATTTTGTAAGTACTGAAACAATGTAATTTGCCTTGTAAGAATAATGCTGTGATTGTAAACACAAAACTCATTGGCTTGGCTTGGCATGAAAAACACACTTGCTGTTTGGACAGTGCTAATGACCAAGGAGTGTACATAATCATTTTTCTGCAGAAGTTAGTGTCTGTAGAATTTGGGTATTTCTCATAGAAAGAGATAATTGTAGATGAATGATTTTTCACACTAAGTTGTTCTCTTGCTATTTGGGTGAGTTTTGGAGAGTAAGAAAAATTAAGAGGTTGATCACTTTTGGTTTTCAAAACACTGAGTGGATCTGCAGAACTACCTAGTTTTTCTCATACTCCTACGTCTCATGCTGCTGCTGGGGAAAGCCTGGACAATTACAGTAGTCATCATGTGGTCTTCCTGTTAGAGATGAACTGGAAGCTGCATGAACCAAGAAGGGATGTCCTGCTGAAAGGGCAGAGAGTGGCTCTTGTCTTGCAGGTGGTGAAGACATTTACAGATCAGGGTGATGGATGCTGAGTTCTGCCGTTGATCTTTACAGGCACTAGGCTAAAAGTTCTGAGACCTCTACTTCTTCCATCACTTCAGGACTTACTGGAAATATTCTAGGGCATCATCTTCATGTTTTCCTTACTGGAGATTATTGTTAGTCCTGAGTGCCTCTGTCAGCCTCACTGGTGTTGGTCACTAACTTAATGCTTCCTTGGGAATTCCACCTACTCCTCCACACTGTTGGTAATGGGGAAACCAAAATTGCTTGGAGTAAAGAATAAGTTGAAGTGCAAATCTTTTCTTCCTTCCCAAGCTGGAGGTGGAGAAAATAAGACTGACAGAACTGGAGATTACACAGAAACCTTAACTCTTTTCCTTTTTTTTTTCTCTTGCTTTCCAGATGTACCAAACTTTGCCATCAGAAGCCCTTGGATCTGAAAGATGATAACACCGAAATTCACTGTCCTGTTACAGTAAATCCATGGCACATGAAGAAAGCTTTTAAAGTTATGAATGAATTAAGAAGGTATTACTTCACTGTATACATCTGCCTGGAATTCATAATATGTTTTCACTTTCACTTGCATTAAGTTGTTAATAATAGTTTGTTTATTAAGAACCTGCAATTCCAGAAGTGTAGCTGATAAGAATTAAATATCCAGTGAAGTGATAGCTGAATGTTAGTTATGTGATGATAACTGCAATGTGTGCAGTATGTTTTTGCCCCTCAAGTTAATCAAAAGTAGGTTTGAGACTTGAAAAACACTTAGGGGTTGTATGTAAGGAGTTACAGTTACTGATCCTGCCTTTTATAGAGTTGAATCTGGATAAATGAAAAGTAACTCTAGTTGAGCCTAAGGCTCTTTGTATGCCTGTTCTTGATTTTTTTTTTTTTTTTTTTTTTTTTTTTTTTTTTTTGGAGACAGGTCACAGTCTAACAAATGTAAACCAACTGACAGTATGCTTTCATTACTTAGTTATATTCCTCTTGTCCCCTGTGAGAAATTGATGAATTCCCAAATCAAATATTCAAAGTAACTTTTCTCTGTAAAGTGTTGTAAAACTTTGAATGATACTACCATCAGTTTCAGCAAAACTGAGAGACTGGTGCTGATGCCTTTCTTAGCACCCATAGTGATTTATTTTCCACATACGAGTAGGTGAGATGGTGTTGAAAACTGTGACAGCTGGTAATTAGAGCTCACAACTGAGCTCTGGTAATTAGGACTCGCAACTATCACTGACAGTAATTCAGCTTTATAACTAACAGCAACAATGGAGAAATTAAATAAACCACTTCTGTAGCATAGACAGTAGCCAAGGGTGTGAAAATCCTGTAGTCCTTTTTTATTTCCCATACAAGATGAAAAACTGGAGAGGCTTTACCTGAAAAAAAAGATAGCAACTGATACCTATTAAAATATGTCTCTGCCTTTGATCTTTGCTATTCCATATCGGTAAATCTTTATACTGCGGTAGATACTGTGATCAGATCAATGTATTTATCTGGCTGTGACAGTTTGTACTGTACTGGGAGACTGGAGAAAATCATATGTTGACTATAAATGTCTTAGAATCATCTCAAAGTCTTCCATAGTCTGAAGACAATGGGATAAGAGCAGAGACTATTTTTCTAGTATGTTAACAGCCTAGTTACCTTATCCTGGAAGGACTGATACTTGTTGCTTCACCTTACTTACGTCCTTGGCTTTTTCAAGGATCCCAGTAACCGGATTCTGTGTCGCATGGGGTGTAATAGAGCCTAGCTAGAGCCAGTAGCCATGACTTCTAAAGAATGAGCAAGAGTTTAGATGAAGAAACAGTTTCCCACAATGAATCTTACAACAGTTTCAGAAGTCAGAAACATTAACCTGCATTTTCTTGTGTTGCAAGTAAAAGATATGTGGTCTTCCAGAGTGCATTGTTGATGGCTGGGGATTATTTTCAGAATATACTTTAGTTTCCATGGTTACTTAAATTTGAATTGCTGTAGAAGCAATTTCTTACATGTATAAATAGTTAAAGTTGGAACAGGAGCAGTTCCATGCAAACCTTAACTGTAGTTCTTACTAAATAAGGTAGTTGATGCAGCAATGTTTACTGTTTAAGCTGGGTACAGCTTATAAAATGGTAAATGCTAATTAGATGAGATTATAAACATTATTATTTGCATTTATTTGTTTGAAATAATAACCTGAAATATTTAAAAAATGTTTCAGACTTCATTTACTCTAAATGAAGACCTAACATTAATCAAGTAAATCATATTTTTTATTTTATTTGACTACATTTTTAAGGTGGTTTCTGAGTTCTTTTCATTAGTAGCACAAGCAGGTATTTGCCAGAGGCAAATATACTCTCTAGAAAGTGGATAACTACTGAAGAAATCATCTGCTTAAGCATCTAAAATACATTTATTTTGGAGTGCTCAAGTGTGAGTTTATAGTTCATTTTTGGCTGCTGTCAAGTTGCCTGGTTCTATTAGCTCATAAGAGGGTTTTTCTGTGCCTTGTAATTTTGAAAAATTTGAGTAATTTTGTCCTTGGTAGTTTTTGTCATTTCATTACTCACCATCACCTCAACACTGAGTCAGAGAGATCATTAGGATACCTAATTAGTTCTTGACATATGAAGAAATTACCCTCTGATGCCTATCTATCTTCTTCATTATAATTTGTTTTTATCACAATGGAATTTGTCCTTACCTGTATTTGTTAAAATCCTCATTCTTACAAACAAGACTAACAAATTCTTTTGAAGGTGTGGGTGATGACCTTTCTACATATAAACCAATGAAGAATAACCTGCAAGCTGGTGAACATCACTATTAAATATATACTTTTTTGCCCCCCCCCAATTTCTCATTTTCTTGTTTCTTTTACCAAGATGGTGTACCCCCCATGGCTCTGTTCATTCAGTCACTGTATACAAGAAAATTAGTACAATAATTTGTACTTCAGAATGCAAGCTTTTCTAAAAGTTCTGTCCTCAAGAAATAAAGGTGCTGAGTTGCTGCGAAAGCCACAAGATGCTTGCGGCAGACTACATGAACAAGTTTATAAGCTTGTTTATTTGGTAGTTTATTTAGCTTGTCAGCTTTGTAGTAATACAGAGCATGTTCATTCACCTAATGCAGTTCCAGACTAGAGATATATCTGGACTGCCTCTAAGTTAATATGTCTATATATGTGTAATGTAACTAATTAGCTGGAGCTTTGCATTGATGTAATTCTGTTGCTTCTGGCTTCATTGTTATCTTTGATATTTCTGTGCAGCTAAGTATAAAATGTTTTGCTCATGTTGTCAGGGTAAGTGCAGGTGTCTGAAAAAGATGGATATCTGATGACCTATTATGTGCAGCTTTCTGTTTCAGTTTTTGTATAATGAATGTAATAGTTGTTTTCAAGCTCCTCTGAATTGTGTGTTTGATACGGGTATGGTCAATACCTTACACATCTTTTTTGATAATAGCCATATGGCAGGTTAACTTGAGGAGATTTAGATAGTTGCTGTAGGTATTAAGAGCTGAAAGGGGGAACCCTTCTAATGCTAGGATTGCAATATAGCCCCAAAGGTTAGTTGTGGCCACCAAAATTTTTGGGGTGTGACTTCCACGAGGCCATCTTACTCAAAAAAAATTGGAGGATTTGCAGAGGTTGAGAGATTGTGGAGTTTTCTTTGGATTGAGGTGAGTATCTGGGCAGTTTGACTGAGCATTCTAGCTCTGTCAGAGCAAAATGCAACTGCTCACCCCCAGTCTCTGCTACAACTCTGTGCAGTAGTTGCAAACTATCAGAAAGTCTTCACTTGAACTGCAATATGTATTCAGGAAAGGTAAAAATTTATCTTTTCAAAAGTACTGAGAATAGAGATCACTGGATTGATGTACAGCTCTAGCTCCAACCACAAGGATTATGTTCTGTTAAATTGTACTTTCCCCTCTTCCCTTTGTTGCCCTGGTTCTGAGTTTCATGGATTGTATGTTACTTCTGCAGGGACAGAAGAACGAAATAAAAGGCAACTGTGGCTGTTTAGATACTGGGAAATTGCAGTCTTTTGGTGCTGTGGTGTGTTTGTTAGTTTTTTTTGTTGTTTCCTCCCCTCCCC